GTTACCCGATGAAGCATAGTCCAAGATCGGATTGAGGAATTATCAAACATGTTTCGAAAAGCAGATGCCATCGGAGTGGGAACAATGGTGTCGGAAACAGGTGGCTTCTCTGAGTACTCAGATGGTCGCGACTTTTCATTATTATTACATCTTAAAGAGGTAGTATGAAGGGTTATTTTGTCGCGTATTTCCAGCCCACAAAAATTACTACGAGTCTGTGCTTGAATGTGAGGAACAAGCCTTGAAAGCGTTTTCAGGAAGTACCTATTTTTTATTATTAGAGATTGCATATTTGAAAATTAAGATTCAGTCTGGATCGAATATAATTGGTTGTCATAACCGTTTAATTACACTTCTTTAGAAAGCGAATGTCCAAAAAAATAAAATAAAAGTAATACAATACTTAATCACAAAATTTCCTATACATACAATGTGTAATAATAACCTCCTCAATGAAAATTCGTTTGTTACTGTTTAAAATTAACTATTATTATCGTTATGAATAAATTTTATTTAACATATTTAAATTTTAAGGCTTGAAATTTCCAACATATCTTTATAAATAATAAAAAGAAAAAAAATTTTTTTTTTTCCTCTAATCAAACTGTTATAATGTGTTTATTTAATCCATTTGAAAACAATAATACAATATACAGTATAATACTATACTAAAGATAAACTATTCTCTGTAGCAAAACATCTATCAAAAAGTTATTTTTAGATTTGGATATAATTCTTGAATCTTTAATATCAAGACCACCATGTTTGTCCTATTCACTAACTATTTCATTACAAGGAAGTATGTTTATTAAGTTATTACTGTGTAATATTAATTATTTTAAACTTTTCAAATCCTAACTTTCTAGATGTGATTGTGAAAAATAATAAAGTTGTTTCTTTTCAAAGTTAAATATTAAAATCTTAATTTAGAAAGATTATTGCCAACCTATATTCAAACTATTACTCCAATACAATCTTGTAATTCTAAGAGATAAAAAATTTTTATTTTTTTAAGAAGTAAAGGAAAAGATAAAAAAAAAGAAAAAGTTTGTACTAATAAATAAAAATCTATTCAAATTAATCATCAATTTAATGAAAATCTTTTTTAATCTTGAAAAAAAAAGAAATTGTATAAGAGAAGAAAGTAAAAACTTCAAATTACTTCTAATAAGAGAATGCCTCAACACCTTACTCTTTTATTATATCCAGTTATATTATCAGTTTTAATATAATATAATATAAAATATATGAGAAGTATATATCTTATTTATTTTTCTTTTATGTGTTAATCAATTAATCCAAGATTTTAACCAATTACCAACCAAAATATTTGGTGTAACAAAAAATTCAGGGTCAAACTAAGGTAGATAAAATTCTTCAGAAAAATCAAAAATTTTTTTTTATATTTAAAAGTACTATCACAGATATATATAATTAATAAAAAACTTATATATTCAAGAGAATTGAATTTATTAGCTTATCCATTCACCTCAATTAAAGGTTTTACTTATGGTGAATCCAAGGTTCTTATGAAGCTTGAAAAATGTATTCAATAATAGTTTACTTTTTGAAGTTTTAAACCTAAGAAAAGTATAATAAAGAGTATTTTTACAATAGATTTTTTTAAGGCTTCTAATAGTATTACTTTAATATTTATTCAATATCAGTTTGATACTTAAATTTATTATAGATTAATACTATTTCAATATCACTTTAATACCAGTTTAATACTTTTCAAAGTCTTAGGTTTCTTCTTTTCAATAAAGTATTCTTGTCATAAATCAAATGAATAAAGTTTTGTTTATTTTGTTATTGAAATATACAAAGTTTTTTGAAAAAGAAAAAATAAACAAGTAGGGAGAGACATCAGCCTTCAAAAAGTAAAATATTAAAAAAAATATATAGACTTTATTATCAAAAAATAAAAAATATTTTTGAGAACATCTGTTTTTTTAAATTGATAAAGGAATCAACAAATAATAATAATAAATATATTTATCAGTATTTCAAATAAAACATATAATTAAACAAGTATATATAAAGTTTATTTTATCTTAATATAAAATATATATTAGTTAAATTATTTTATATATTGTGATCAAAATTAGTTTGATTCATATCTGAGTAATAGTTTTTAAAAAAAATTAAAGATTATATAGCATAATTTATTGTTTCAAAAATAATTTTTTTTAAATATTACAATATATGGCAAAAATTTCTCAATAAATTTTTATAATTAAAATATATTTAATAAAATAACAATATTTTATTAAGATATTAAATTAGAAATTCAGATAATTACAAAATAAATTATTCAAAAACTAATTGAAAATTATATAAATAATAGTTATTTATATAATGTTTTCTATTATAGGTTACCTAGGTTATTTGAATTATCTGGGCTGTCTAATCTATATATTATAATATTATAATTTTATAAATTATAGGCCTTGTAAATCTTTTAAGCCTTTTGAATTGCTTGAACCTTTTAAGCTATCTAATCTATGTTACTATTATGGTAAAATCACGATGAGTTAGTCACTTCGATCTGACTCACGCTATGTAACAATAGGATTTCATTTCTGCTCAAAAGAGATATATAAATTTGACCAGAGTTCGTAACACTTAATACAAATCAGTTTGTCGATCTTGTATTCCAAAAAGTTATTTCTTCATATAGCAATTCTGTTAGCTATACATATTGGAATATTTTTACAAGGCAATTTATTAATAAAGACAGTTTATTAATTATCTATTGTATAATACCTATCCTAATTTTTCCTACTTTTTGTATATTCTCAAGTTGCTTATATATATGTTGACTTTATATCTATTATATATATTATTTCTAATATACTATTTATATCAGATATACCTTTTATACATGATACAGTATATTCTTTATATCTAATATATTACTTACATTAGTTAAAATAGTGCCATTCAGCATGCTGCCACTCGCCAAAAATTCGAATACAACATTTGATATAATATTATTCAGTAAAAATTTGGTATAGTATCACTTGACAAAAATTTAGCATATGCCGAATTATAAAATAATATTTTATTTTTTGTAATAATTATAATAAATAATTGTAAAAAAAAAATAAAATA